GGCAGAACCGTAGTTGCAATGAGGCGTCTTTAGAGCAAGTCGTTTGAATCAACGCAGACCACACTGGTGTCTAATTTTAATTGCTATTGAAGTGCACTCTGTGCTGGCAACGGTGTCAGGTGTCCTCATGAATGTTGTCACTAAGCCTCTGCCTCACACAGGGCAGAGGCCAAGGTTAGACTGTTTTTGGTCGTCAGCGAGCAGAGAGGACACTTCTCCTGGCTGCAGAAGGGGAGGCCGCACCCCGAGATGTGGGCATCAAGTCCGTGAAGACGCACAGCGGTGGCTCTGCAGAGGTGCCCCACACAGAAGGCAATGCAGGCGGAAGCGACCTGGGGGAAGGCTCCGGGGTGCAGAGCCAGGCTCGTTATTCCGCTCGTGTGAAGACGCTCATTTTGAATTGGAACATTACAGAAGCACCGTGTTAGAGATCCTTTCATTTTGCCCAGTGAAGCGTGCAGCCTGTGGCCTTAGTGTGGCTGAGGCAGGAGCGGAGAGAAAGTACTCAGGAGACCCGGCCGGCGTGGCTCCGTGGTTGAGCGTCGACCTATGAACCAGGAGGTCATGGTTCGATTCCCGGTCAGGGCATATGCCCGGGTTGTGGGCTCCATCCTCAGTGTGGGGCGTGCAGGAGGCAGCCGATCCATGATTCTCTCTCATCATTGATGTTTCTATCTCCCTTTTCCTCTGCGAAATCAATAAAAATCTATTTTAAAAAAATATAAAAGAAAGAAAGTACTCAGGAGTAAGCAGATCCCAGGAAGGCCCTCTGAACAGGCAACATAGGCGCCCGATGATCCTGCGACCTGCCCAGACCGGCAGCTCCGAGGCAGTGCAACCCCTCCACTCGCTGAGGATGACACTGCTCTGCCCCCATGAACTGCACTCGGCCTACCCTTTTCCAGAGACGCTGCAAACACTGAGATATCGGCCACACCGTCTACACCTGCTTCTGGGGCTTCCCAGGACCCCTGCACCTACCGTTCCCTTACTCTGCCCTCCGCAGCTTTTTTAAAGAATATATATTTTATTGATTTTTTACAGAGAGGAAGGGAGAGGGATAGAGAGTTAGAAACATCGATGAGAGAGAAACATCGATCAGCTGCCTCCTGCACACTCCCTACTGGGGATGTGCCCGCAACCAAGGTACATGCCCTTGACCGGAATCGAACCTGGGCCCCTTCAGTCCGCAGGCCGACGCTCTATCCACTGAGCCAAACCGGTTAGGGCCCTCCGCAGCTTTCTTGTTTCTCAGCCCACGTGGATCCCCAGTATTCACTCCAGAGAAAGACCCCATGTTTTATTCTGTTAATCAAGCTCTGAAAAGGGCATTTTTTTTAACTTTCTTTAAAATACGTTTTTATTGATTACAGAGAGAAGGGGAGAGAAATAGAAACATCAATGACGAGCAAGAATCACTGATCGGCTGCCTCCTGCACACCCCTTACTGGAGAGCCCTCAACTCAGGCACGTGCCCTGACCTGTGACCTCCTAGTTCATAGGTTGAGGCTCAACCACTGAGCCACACCAGCTGGGCTGAAACAGGCATCCTTGTACCCAAGCATGAAAAAGAGGAAATATTCCTAAATCTCAGGTCGGGTGCCTGGACAGGTACCCAACGGTCCTGAGACAGGGAAGGAAGTGGAAAACTAAAAACCCACGAACCTGAGTGCATTCAGCAAACAACCTGGGCCCTTCCCAACGAGTCCCACTCCCGCCCTTCCCTCACTGCACCGTCTAACAAGCTGCAGGCTTTACGGAGCTTGTCGGCCTTTTCTGGTCCCAAACGTATGAACCTCAAACCCTGAAATACAAGGTCACCTTCTTTCTACCTCATTAGGTTCCCAAATACTTGAAGGAACACTCCATCAACTACACTCTCATCTTCTTTCCTACTGATTTATTCTAGCATTTCAACACACACACACACACACACACACACACACACACACACACACACACAGTTGGATCAGATATAGGACAAGAACACTAACCATCTCATCATACTTTGCATTCATTAGTCCCCGTCTGGAACACTGTGTTCAGTCCAGATTGTTAACTGATAATATTAAGAAACTGGAGAATAACAGAGAGTTCAGGAAGGGCCCCTTGAGGACCTGCCGAAGCAACTAGAAAGGTTGGGCTAGAACAGAGACCCGCTTACTTAGATCTTCCCGCTGTTACGAGTCCTTGGTAATCTGTAGCAAACTGACAGGCTGGTTCGAACGGTTCTTAATCATTTGATAGCAAATGTGTGCCCTGGTAGCCTACAGATGGGTAGTTAGTTCCCTGTGTGCTTTAAAAGGGAGGCTGTAGTGGAAGCTATACACTTTCCACAGCTGGAAAAATGAGCTGTTTTGGAGAAAAGGTTTGACTAGTACATTGAAGATTTCCAATCACATGACACGTCAGATGGGCTGATACTGTGAGATAACGCGTTTATCAGCCACGCACTGGGGGCCCCCGGGGCTGCTTTCCATATGCAGCCCAGCCTCTCTTTGCATAGAGGCCTCTATAAGCACAGGCCCTCCCTGCAGAGACCAGAGAGAGCCCCCAAAGGGAGCAGAGGCAGCAAGGCTCTTTCATGCCTGGAAAAATAAAATGCTGGCTGTCTCCTGGCATTTCAGAGCCTAATCTCAAAAGGATCATGCGAAGAGGAAATAGAGTTTAGCATGGCAGACCGCTCTGCAGGGTACACTTGTAAGTATGAGATTCTCTAATGTGGTTGATGGATACAACACTAATAGCTTGGTATCAATGACTAGTGGATTTTTACTTCACAACCGCAGGGCTGTGAGAAATGTTAGCAGGTTTCGTCTAAGGAAAACAGACTAGTGAACACGTATGTTGTCCTGGCCTAGGCTTTCTATACCTAAAACAAAACAAAACAAAACAAATAATAATTTTTTTAAAAAACCCTTACAGTCACACACGTGCAAATGAAGCTTCTCAATTGGGCAGTAAGGGAATATTACAGTTTTAGAGGAGGGTAGATGTGGTCTTTCATTTTATGGGGGTTTTGTGTGTATATGTGTATGTAGGTTTTGATAAAGATATACGGCCAGATATTTCAGACTTGTTTGTTTTGAAAATCATGCATTTATCAAATTAGTTCCATCATTTAATTAGTTGTATTGATCCCAGGTTGAAAGGGTTATAGGAAGCTTTGTTGATCTCGATTTTACAGAATTTCTTCATTCCTTAATGTTGTACCTAAGCACAAGTACACCCAAATTACTTGCTTTTTAAAAGGCAAGAATTTTGTGTGCCGTGGCAAACAAAACCTCACAAAAATGTAAATTGCTCTAGGTTTTTCTAAATTTTATGTGGCATGCTACATCATAATATAAAGAAACACACTTAAATACAGATACTGCAGAAAGGATTAATCAATTGCCTATCAGGATGGAACATTTTAAATATGTGAAAAGGCTCAATGTAAGAAAATCCATTTATATTTTCATATTGCTTTGAGAAAGATTCCATTTAAATACTGGGGGGGAACTTGAATCTATTACTGGCATGATACATATCCAACTCAATTCATTGTCTATGCATTTGTCCCACTCTAAGAATTAAATTCTATAGATGAAATGTATGCTTTCTTTAAAATAATCAGGAGGAAACACTGAGAAAAAAATCATTATGGAGACCTAAACTGGTTCTAAATACAGTTACATTCTAAAAATGCACACTAATTTTACCAAGAGAATGCTCAAAAATAAAAAAGATGGGCAAATTAATGCATGATGTTAACCTTCGATAAACAAAACATATTTAAAGAATAAGGAATGGAACATACATACTGAAAGTATAGTAATTTTTATAACTACCCATAAAATAAATTTCTAGATAAGGAATTAACAAATCACAAGTAGGGATAACCATCCAATACTTACAAAGTGAATAAACTATTGACTTTTTACTGAAAATGTAAGGCGGGGTATTTATAGAAATCTCCACCAAAAATGCATTCTCCAGGAAGCACACAATAACCTTTTCTGCTTTTGTTTGGTTTTGTCACTATTTTATTTTTAGGTCCATGGAATTTTCCCACAAATCATACCACCACCATGAGAGAAAAATGATTATTGTTGACTCAAAGCTCGGTGAGTTCATCCATTTTAAATCAAGTCTGTATCATATCAGCTCAACCATCTTTTCACAAGGAACGCTCTCTTTTTGCAAAAACAAAACCCTTAGTTCAATGGAATATTTGAGGCTAATTTGTATTTTTACTAATGAATGATCACATATGCTTTAATTCCAAGGGTATAATTTAACTGAAGATGGTCTTAATTGGATTTGATGACAAACCAAACAAATCTGAGTTTATCAATGGAACATATTAATCAAATTCTAATCCTAAAGAACATCTTTATAGAGGGGACACCTCATGTCATCATCCGCAAAGGGACGCTCTGGCTGGGCTGTCCTCTCATCCTTTGGCCCAAGTTCTTCTGAGCACACAAGCCCCTCTGGTAGTTCCATCCCTTCGGCAGGACTCACGCACCCCCAAGTGCCTGAACCTCTGGAGCACACCCAGCTCATTCTAAAGCTCGAACTCCCGCCACTAACATAGTATGTGAACAACAGAAATGTAGGAACAGGGTGACGGAGGAAAGGGACAATGAGCAGGGCAGGGAGGAGGCTGACACGCTGAAGGAGTGCGCTACACCGGGGAAAGCGTAGGAGGGTCTCAGTAGAAATTTAAAAAGAGGAAGAAGTGCAGTCTGACAATGTGTGTTTCCCGTGCATACACACACGCACATGCACACACACACATGCACATGCACACACACGCACACAAAAAGCTTAGGAACTATTTCCTGAATGAGAGGGAGTGCAGGAAGCTGAATGAACATCAGATTAACTGGAACAGACAGTTACTGCATGTGCTTTCTAATCTTTACAGTTCCACTTGGGAAAGGGAAAGGGGAAATGGGAAAATTTTTATTGCTATGCCCACGATCACACAGCTAAGAGCCTGAACTCAGGCTTGGCGTCAGGGCCCAGAATTATCTTAATATACTCTGTCACCTCTCCAGAGCTGTGGGGACCCCTAAATTCTGGTGCATTTGGAAATTACTCTCTTGTTGTTAATCCCCACCTGGGGATATTTTTCCATTGATTTTTAGAGAGAGTGGAAGGGAGAGAGAAAGGGGGAGGGGGAGGGGGAGGGAGAGGGAGAGGGAGAGGGAGAGGGAGAGAACATCAATGAAAGAGAGACACATCAATTGGTTGTCTCCTACGCACACCTGACTGGGACTAGGGATGAGCCTGCAACCGAGGTACGTGCCCTTGGCTGGAAATGAACCCGCAACCCTTCAGTCCACAGGCCGAGGCTCTATCCACTGAGCCAAACCGGCCAGGGTTGAAAATGGCTTTACCTTTGCTGTGCTTCTGACCCGAGTGGGCGTCGCGTACTAAGACTGTCCTGCCTTTGCTAAGCAATTCCATTAAAGCCATAAAAGAGACCATAACTTGTAAATAGGTATGGGTTTCAGGTACAGAGATCACCGATGTGCACACACAGCGGCAGTAGGTACAGAGACAGCGAGGTGTAAGACCGATGGTCACAGGTGGTCCATAGGCAGGGGAGGAGGCAAGGCCCAGTAGAGGGCAGGGATGGTGGTTCTACTGACAGGAGAGGCATCGAAAGAGGAGGCTTTTGGCCACCCTCCTACTTAGAAGATAAGCAGCAAGGTTTTGGGGAATCGGCCTCTTGGAGGTGACCACAGAGATGAGGAATCTTTTATATATATATAATTATTATTATTGTTGATTTCAGAGAAGAAGGAAAAAGGAGAGCTAGAAACATCAATGATGAGAGAGTCATTGATTGGCTGCCTCCTGCACACCCCACACTGGGGATCGAGCCCTTTGACGGACAGGTGGGCCAGATGAGTCCTAAAGTCACAACTCAAAGCACCTGCGTTCCCCTAAAATAGTTATGAGATGAGTCCTTTTATTCTCCTGTCATCCTCACCCCTGGCCAGTGACTGTAGCCCATTAACTTCAAACGTGCTATCTCTGTGTGCTCTTTAGAAATGCACTCTTAACATGTAATTATTTTAAATGACTAAATTATACTCAGTGGATGCTGTATTTCTTCAGAAAAATGAGCAGGCGGACTTGCTGGGTGTGTACGATGTGCAGAGATGCGTCGAAGAGGCCCCCTTCAAAGTAAGTAAGCCGTTACGTTCGATGGCCATGCTAAAGCATTTCACGGGGGTCTACGCCTTCAACTGCTCTCTTAACACAGTTTGCTCAGAAAGTAAAATCTGCATTCACGCACGAGTGATTCCCCCAGAGGACCAATCATCTATTACACAAGGTCCCGTGTTCGTTATTCGTGGTTCATACTTGAGAATTCAGCAAGTTAGATGTTTTCAGGGAGTCTATTATGAGTAAACATTCTTAGATTTTTTTTTAAGTTTTATAGTATCTTAAAATGAAGTTATTTGATCCAACATGTTCCTGGCTCAAATCCTCCACCTGCAGAGTTCTGAAAATCTTCATCCCCAGGTGGAAGAGGGGAGGCTAGGGGTGAAACCAAATGCTTACCAAGCTCCCAAGTCTGCTTGACTTTGGGGTGTGGGGCGGGGTGTGGAACTGTGACTGGATCAACATGGGAAGTGTAAGGCCTGATAAAGGTAGCAAACCATGTGATTGGATCTGCTCAGCTCAGAGAAGGCCTGGGTGGAGGGTCCCTGTTGGGCTAACCGTGAGTGCCTAACCTAGCCCACGTGGAGACCTCGGTTCTGGCCACGGCTCCCGGCATGCATGCTCATGCCCCGAAGCAGCAAAATGCCCCAAAATGTTTGCAAGCTATCGTGTGTGGGCGGAGGAGGCAGGAAGACTCCAAGCTCGGCGAGTCACAAGACCAGGTGTGGCTGCTGCACTGACAGGCACAGTCAGCCTATCTGTCCAGAAGAAAGGGGGCAGGAGGGACACAAAAGAGGAGAACTTTTCTTTAAAAATCTGAGTGGGTGCTCTAGCCGGTTTGGCTCAGTGGTCAGAGCACTGACCCCTAGACTGAAGGGCCACAGGTTCGATTCCGGTCAAGGGCACATGCCTCAGTTGCTGGCTCCATCCCTGGCCCTGGTCGGGGAACCAGTCGATGTCTCTCTCACATTGATGTCTCCCTCTTCTCTCTTCTCTCTCTCTCCCCTCCTTCCCACTCTCTCTAAAAAATCAATGGGGGAAAATATCCTTGGGTGAGGATTAAAAAATCAGGGTGGGTGGAAGGGGCAAAGGTGTTTAGAACAGTTCTGATGAGGACGCCCAGATGGCCGTGGAACAGGGTAGAACTTGTGAGATACTACTAAGAAAAACTTACAAGCAAAAAACAAAAAAAAATGGGTGTAAACCAAAAAGAGATGTCATTCCACAGTTTTATCCCCAACCATAATGTCTGCAACTATAGTCTCCTATCCCCATAAATCTCAGGAATCTGAGAGGCCAAAGACTTCTTCGGTCCAACTATTAGCAACACCAAATTTTAAGCTAAACCATGATGGTGATGGCGGGTGAGCCCATGATGTAGGTCTACAACCTCCTCAGTGAGGGGGACGGGTAGAAGAGGGAGAAGGCAGCACACCCACTCCCCATAAATCTCAGGAATCTGAGAGGCCAAAGACTTCTTCGGTCCAACTATTAGCAACACCAAATTTTAAGCTAAACCATGACAGTGATGGTGGGTGAGCCCATGCTGTAGGTCTCATTCCCTCCTCAGTGAGGGGGACGGGTAGAATGGGGAGAAGGCAGCACACCCAGCCCAGCGCTGGCCCACTTCACCGGCCTGGCAGGGTTGTTTTAGGCAACTGCTTCCCTCAAGTTCTAATAAGAGAAAAGAACAGTGAGTCAGATACCATTTCATGGAAAGGTGGCTTTTAAAGCAATCTTCACAGCAGTGCACTGCTAAGCCTCCGTGCTGATGCAAACAGTCCATCTAATACCGGCCAGAGGCACCTAAAATTTTAGAAAACAAAATATATTTGACCTTTTTTTTTAAGGACTCCCAATAGTTTTCCATGTTCTAGGTTATTTTTTAACCTCTTTACCTAATCTCCCTTCATGGTATCAGGTACCTGCTAATGCCACTGGCTGTTCCATCAATTACGGGGCTAACGGGGCCAGAATTAGTCCGGGGGACAGTGGAAGCTTGTGTCCACAAGCTGTCTTTCGGGATATGCAGCTACTAAAAACGGGGACCTTAGGAATGGGTCATAAGCTCAATGGCAATGAGCACACTGAGTATTTTAACAGCGGGAAACTAAGATGATTGATATGGAAGCATTGCCAATTCACCTCAAAAGCCCCCCAAAACGGACAGAAATAAAGCCTTCAAGTCAGCATCTTTCACGGACACTTTCTAAATGGTAAATGGTTTTTTTAAATACTGTTTAAGTGAAATGTAACTTGACATGTTATTCGCAGCAATAAAATTAAACCCCTCAACATGTAAAAATTATAGCAAATAATATAGCAAATTATAGACAATATATCTATACATGACTTTATTATATGAATGCAATCAAATAGGGTAGGTGGATAAACTAAGATTCTATTAGATAAGCAGGCAAACACGTTGCTGCATACAATGCCTAACCCTTTACAAGCACGTTGGCAATTTGTACTGAGACCCTAAAAAAGGTGCACCTTTTGGCCCACTGGATCCCACTTCTGCTAATGTCCTAAGGCAGTGGTTCTCAACCTTCTGGCCCTTTAAATACAGTTCCTCATGTTGTGACCCAACCATAAAACTATTTTCATTGCTACTTCATAATTTTTTTTGCTACTGTTATGAATCGTAATGTAAATATCTGATATGCAGGATGGTCTTAGGCGACCCCTGTGAAAGGGTCGTTTGACCGCCAAAGGGGTCGCGACCCACAGGTAGAGAACCATTGTAAGGAGTTACTCTAACTGTGAGGACGTGGCAAGCCTTACTCACAGCTGGGCCACGGTGGGTTTTAAGGGTGAAAATGGGAAATCATCAAACTGCTCACTGGGATAATTATGTAAATTATGAAATGCCCCTTGTAGAATACTCCTTAATCATGATAAATGGTAGGGAATATAAAAGATTATAAATTACAACACTCTAAATGGTTATTAAGACAACTGTGAAGACATATAAAAGGTCATTATAAATATATATCTATAATAATAAAAGGGCAATATGCTAATTAGACTGGACGTCATTCTGGACTTCCTTCTGGATGAAGCCAGGGTCCCGGGTGCCAGAGGGAAGCCGGTGCCGGCAGCCGGAGGAAGGAAGGCCTACTCTTGCACAAATTTTGTGCATCAGGCCCCCCCCTTCTCTCCCTCTCTCTCCCTCTCTCTCTCTCTCTCTTTCTCTCTCTCTCTCTATATATATATAGTGTCCCAAAAAAGGTATACACACTTTTTTCTGTTAGCTCAATTGATGTTTCTTTCTTAGTGTGTATACATTCTTGGAACACTATATATATATATATGTATATATATATTATAAGGAAACACACACATACACATAAGGTGTACACAAACACAAGCAGAGTATGATTACTTCTTGGTTAAAAACACACACACAACAAAAAGACTAAAAAGAAATAAATCAAAATATTGATAGTGGTAATTTGGGAACAGGGATCTTATAGGACTCTCTTTCTCTCTCTCTCTCTATATATATATAGTGTCCCAAAAAAGGTATACACACTTTTTTCTGTTAGCTCAATTGATGTTTCTTTCTTTTCAGATTTAACCCATTGGAATTAATAATTATTCAAAGTGTGTATACATTTTTGGCACACCCTATATATATAAGGAAACACACACACACATATACATAAGGTGTACACAAACACAAACACACAAGCAGAGTATGATTACTTCTTGGTTAAAACACACACACACAACAAAAAGACTAAAAAGAAATAAATCAAAATATTGATAGTGGAAATTTGGGAACAGGGATCTTATAGGGCTACTACAGGCCCAATGCACAATTTCGTGCAAGAGTAGGCCTTCCTTCCCCCGGCAGCCGGCACCGGCTTCCCTCTGCACCTGGGACCTGGGCTTCCCTCACAGCCCCAGTTTCATCTGGAAGGTTGTCCGGAAGGACGTCTGGAAGGACGTCCAATCTAATTAGCATCATGTTATGCTTTTGTTATTATACATAATCCTTTATCATTTTAAAGATGTATTTGATCACATTTTCAACTTTATAATGCCTTTATAATTCTTACAACTTTAAGCGTTTAGGAAGTAAAAATAAAATGGGAAAGATCACAGGAAGGTAAAACTCCCATCCAAAACCTCACACAGGTGCCGTGTGATTATATTTTGGTGTTACTTTCAAGACAGTATCAAACCTTGAGAATATTTTAGTGCAATGAGCACCTCTTGCTTCTTTTCAAAGCCTTACTTCGGAGGAAGTGTCACAGTGGGCCCAGTCTTTTGAGAAGCTGATGGCGACAAAATGTGAGTATCATGTCTATGTCATCTTGGAATAATCAGTCGGTTTCACTCTTAGGGGGAAGGGGGCCCTGGATGATGACTGTAGACCCTCTTCTCACCGCCTTCTACGTGGCAACAGCCACAGTTTTAAAAGGAAACCCTGAAAATAGTCTGTCCTGTCAACCACCATGATTTCCTTGGGCGTTAAATACAACAAGATTAGTCACTGTGAATATTTATTCCTCACAAGTCTATGTGTAAAATCCCTTGGAAAATATGCTTAAATAGTAACATGCTGAAATACGCTGCTGCCTCCGCATCGCCGGCTAAAGTTAGAATTTTTTTTTTTTTAATTAACAACTTGCTTTTCTTCGTGCCTTCAAAAGTGGGAATACATTTGAGTCGTGATGTGCTAAAACGCCTCGGAGCTCATTTCCTCACTGGATCAGTGTCTCAGTGAAGTGAGCCTTATACGGTTCGATGTAAGTCTCAGCATTCAGAGGGTATAAATGCAAGATAACAGCAGTGGATCTGAGGGCGTAAAGTCATGGGCTCAAGGCAAGAAATACGAAGGAGTACATGCACCCATGTGGGCAGTCAGTGCGTTTGGGGTACCTCTTAGCAACGTCAACTGTCCATTCTGTGCAGGAATCCTAGGGATTGGGTGTGAAAACTGGTCTCATAAAGAAAAACCTCCACAATGAATTAAGCAGAAAGTACCCTGCGAAATTTTCAAGTCTGCAGATGACAGGAAATACTCCAAGCTTCCAAACATCAAAGGTTTTAGGGAAGAACTGTCTTCAAATGAACATAGAAGTCGTAGTAAGTTTTTAAATGAATCCTGAAAAAAAGTCTGAGCTATTAGTCATCTCTTCACAAAAAATATATGAGGATTACTGAAGACTTTTCCTGGAATGATGGTGAACCAAAACACCAAACAGGGCCCAAAAATACCATCACAGTGCTAGGTGTCCACCAAGAAGAAAAATGGGGGGGAAATCCTAGGGGTATTTCTGATGGCTAAACCCAGTAGGACTAGAAAAGACACGAAAATATGCCTTTGAAATGACAAGGAGGCCAACCATCCCAGAAAACCCAAGGGTTCCTCATACTGGAAACGTCAAGACTGAAAAATAATCCAAATCCAAATCTATAATGTCAGGCAGAAAGACAGGAAGAAGGCTCCTACATATGCTGATTAACCAAAATCTCACAAGATGAGAATAGAGGTCGCCCACTGATATCTGAGCAAAGTGTGTTTAATATAAACAAAAAGAAGTTTAGTAAAGCTATAAGGCACGCCCTTGGATGACTCATCCAGCCGGCCCTGTGTCCGGCAGACCCGCCAGGCCCCGGGGACACTGAGGTGAACAAGGCCAAGGTCACTGTGCTCAGCTCCTGGGCTCCCCCTAGAGGGAGGAGACAGACAACCAAGCAAATGAGCTAAGTAATTAATTCCAGAAAGTAGCCAGGGCCTTGGACAAAGTAAAGCCAGGCTACAGGACAAAGAAAGGCGGGCATAGAGGGCAATCCAGCTGGAGGAGTAGAGAACTGTCAGGAGGGACAAAAGGTGAGCTAAGCGCTGAATGAGGAGAAGCAGCCGGCCACGCTGGGGCCTGGGCCAGGAGCTGAGCAGCGGAGAACCCAGATCCAAAAGCCCTGAGCAGTCAGTGAGGTGAGTGTCTTGGAATAACAGCGAGGAGTTAACCTGCCTGCGGGAGCCTGGGGCCTTCTAGGCGACAGGAATGACCTTAGAGGGCATCGATCGTTTCATTTTGGTCCAAATCATCCTGGGGCAGACGGTACCCTTTGCCCCTTTCTCAGTTATCACAGCCCCTGCAGACAGCCGTGGCCATCCTAGGCTGACACGTGTAGGATCGTCACACTGCCGGGTGCTGTGCACGCCAGGGGACAGCATCGGCTGGCCTGGGCACCTTCCTCCTTATGGTGGACATTCAGCGTCACTGAGAGACACTGGTCCCCTCGTGTGCATCCGGATGCGGAGGCAGAGCCCCCTCCTGGCTCCCTTCCCCTGGGGAGAGATCGTGCTGCTGCGGTGTTGATTGGCAGCTCCCCGCTCATCCCTGCTGTTGCCATGGTTTCCTCCCCCAACCCTCCAATTACCCACAGCCCTGCCTCAGCTTTTCCCACTTAGCACCTTCGTCTTCACTCATTTCTCATGCTCTCTGTCCCCTTTGCGGGGAACAAAACAAAACAACAACAGAGACACCACTGTTCCATGAGTACATTTTTTTTTTGTCTCACTCTCAGAAAACCAACAAGTAACCGTGTGCCAAGTAGGGGAACAAAACAACAACAGAGACACCACTGTTCCATGAGTACATTTTTTTTTTTTGTCTCACTCTCAGAAAACCAACAAGTAATCGTGTGCCAAGTATAATAACCCTCTGGTCTTTGGTGCTTTTCCTGGATGCTGAATAATTAGGCTCTGCTTCACTTTTCAAAACCTATGCGAGTCATTTTAGAAGACAGAAGCAGGAGAGACACAGGGGCCAGAATGACAGGCATTTATTCTCTGATTGGGTACCTGCTGTGTGTCGGGCAGTGTGTGGGCTCTGGGCACCTGCCCATGAAGAAAGTGCAGTCCCAGTTCCCAGAGGGTGTGCACGTGAGGGTGTGCAGGCGAGGGTGTGCAGGAGAGGGTGTGCAGGTGAGGGTGTGCAGGTGAGGGTGTGCAGGTGAGGGGGAGAGTGATGGACGTAAGCCAATGAGTACAGTAGACTGCGGTACAGAGTGAAACATAATCAAAGTAAGTGTGTACTAGGTGCTCTGTGTCAACTGACAGGGACGTGGCAAGTTCAGAGTAATTTTTCCAGAAACTGAGATACCTCAGCTCCTTTAAAGGCATCTTAAGGAAATGATTAGAGATGCAAAGATTTATGAACCAATATGTTCAATGTAGGGTAATCTGTAACTTCACACATTGCAGACGGATCACGAGAATTCTCGCTTCATATTACACAGTGTTTTACCGAGCCTCATACTTCAAAAAGATACTAGCTTGTAAGAACATGTAATAAATAACTTCAAAATGCAATGGGTGTTTCATTTTAAAGCGTGCCTTTAACATTTATGTAAAACTTTTTTGTACTGGTTCAATAGAACTGTATCTGGCCACTGGGTAAAGCTAGCAATAAGACTGTTAGTCCGCAATGTGTTAAAATGGGGAAACAATCCACATAGTCAATAACTGTGGTAAATCAGTAGATCAGAGCTTAGCTTTGCAATGGACTATTTTTTTGTCTTTTTTTTGCAGTGGACTATTAAAACTAAAAAGGAAAAAATGTTTGCCACATGATATTATATATTCAAGAGTGATACAAAATTGCTTTCACAGTTTAATACCAATAGGTTGACTTGTGTGTGTATCTGTTTGTGTAAACAAATTAATACTAGTTAGAAAGGAATTAAATATGAACAAAGGGTTCATAGAATAAAAGGAAATAAAAAATTGTTAATGATGGTTATCTTTTAGAAGTTTTCTATATTTCAAAACAACCCACAGTACTTTGAGCTACTTTTATCAAAACAGAACAAAGAGATGTGAGGAGAAAAGGCCAGAAACGATGAATATCACAGAAGCCAACCCAGAGAATTTCAATTAAACAGACTTGCTATAAAAACGTCACACAGAAGCTGGTAGCATTGTGGAATTCATTATCCCCGGTGGTGCCAACGGAAAATAAAAGGGATTTAAAACTGCTTTAGACACATTTCTGACAGAAGACCAAGGCACAGGCCACCTTGAGGATTCGATGATGGGGTGAGCTTGACAGCCCAGCAGAAAACAACCCTGGGAGAACAGACGGGCCACTGTCCTGACTCAGCCTAGAGCAGTGTCAGGTCCCCCGCCTGCATCGAAGTCCCGGCATGTGTCACCTCGAGTGTCATCGAAACACCAATGTCAGCGACTGCTTTAAAAAGAACACGCGAGAGGGTCCCCAAGCACCGCGGTGGTTTTCAAGAAAAAGGCGTACACTGTGCATGACATAAACCTCTTCTTCCCTCTTCTCAGTTTAATGGCCGAGTCTGTGCTGATGCCCATTCACTGTCTCGAGCAGCATCACCCACGGTCTCTTGAGCTGTGAAGGAAGAGCTTTGAAAAGGTCAGAGAGGGCTCCATGGCTGGACTTGGAAAAGGCTTGTAACTCACTTGTGTGAGTCAATAGAAACGCTAGGCTGAGCCATTCCCTGCTGACTTTAAGAATTACTCAGATTCCTGGAACACTTTTATACATTTGGGTTTTCAGCCACTAACCGGGGTAACGTGTACACATTAATCTAATGAAGACGGGATTCTGTAGAACAGTGATGGCGAACCTTTTGAGCTCGGCGTGTCAGCATTTTGAAAAACCCTAACTTAACTCTGGTGCCGTGTCACATACAGAAATTTTTTGATATTTGCAACCATAGTAAAACAAAGACTTATATTTTGATATTTATTTTATATATTTAAATGCCATTTAACAAAGAAAAATCAACCAAAAAAATTAGTTCACGTGTCACCTCTGACACACGTGTCATAGGTTCGCCATCACTGCTGTAGAACATGCCAGAATCAGACCTGAAATATCAGGCAGGTTCCTGTCCACGTCAGCTTTCACTAGGCTATCATACAGTCACACACGGCATTAGCATCCCAGTAATTGGCAGGCAGGTTCTGGAATGAACATCTCTAAACATTCTACTATACAATTAAGCTAAACACGAATATAAACGCAAATTTGGGATACAGAATCATTGGTTTCCAAATCCCCTCCCTACCCACCCACTCATCCACTCAAACCATCCAAGTAGCTGGTTAACTCTCATTCCAGGATCTGCAGATTTTATCTGGTATCTCATTTTTTTCCCTCTTTCATAGCTCATTTCTCCATTTTAGAGTCCTTATTTCCCGTTCCTGATGAAACACTCAGTCAAAATTCCTCTGAGCACAAAATAGATCAAGTTGCTTTTTGTTTGTTAACATAGAACTCTGTTTCTTCTGATACACAGTGGAAATTATGGGCTCCCAGCTTCACATGTTAAGCCAGAAATGGTTTGCCTATCCATTCAGCTATTTCTTCACCAGGAGCACCACCTGCTATATCTGAGAGGAAGGGAGAGGGGGAGAGAGATAGAAGCATCAATGATGAGACAGAATCATTGTTCGGCTGCCTCCTGCACGCCCCCTACTGGGGATGGAGTCCACAACCCAGGCATGTGCCCTGACCGGGAATCGAACCGTGACCTTCATTGGTCAACACTCAACCACTGAGCCACGCCGGCTGGACCAGACTTTGTTTTTAAATGCATTGTCTGTTTTTCAGAGTTGTTAATGACTTTGATCCAGGAAAATAAGTGATGTCTCCATTGCTTTCAGATGGGCCGGTAGTCTACGCGGCATACCTGAAGCTAGAGCACAGCGACGAGAATATCCAATTCTGGATGGCCTGTGAGACCTACAAGAAAATCGCCTCGCGATGGAGCAGAATTTCTCGGGCGAAGAAGCTTTACAAGATCTACATCCAGCCACAGTCCCCTAGAGAGGTACCTAGCCAACCGTGACCCTGAACGGAAATCAGGGTGTTCATGTCTGCTGACCAGGCACACAGAGGTGCCGGCCTCCTTACCTCCAAGGATGCTGTGAAGTCAGGGCTGTTCACCTCATTTTACAGATAAGAATCCTGAGAGTCAGAAAAGTGCACTAACTTGCCCAGTGACACACAGAGCTAAAGGGGAGAAATCAGGATTCAAAGTGAGGTCAATGTAGCTCCCGAGCCTCTCCTTATTAAATGATTTTCATTCCCTAGTAGAGTGATTTACAAAGAAGAATTGGCTTTGCTAGAAGGAACTACGGTTACCATCAATAGGCACACTGACATCCCCGGGGATGCTGGGCAAAGTCTGTGCCTCCACAGCGCCCCCGCTCACCTGAGTTTAAAACCAGCAAAGCCAGCTAACGCTCACATTGATCTCACTTCCCAGCATGCACCTCTGCCTGCAGAAAACAGAGTCATGAGGGAAACAGACACACCGAGACTCCTCCTGGAGGGGAGACAAGGGGGAACGAGAATTCTGATCAGGGGGGAGGATGGTAGATGAGATTCCTCTCACCCAGGACAGCCCTACCTTGGAGGACCTGTTCCTCAAAGCTCTTGTCTGGAAAATACTTGGCTTACTGAAGTGACCACTTCTCTATTTCTCCACTTCTCTTCACCTTCTTCCCATTTCGGGGCACAGTCCATGAAATCAACATCCGTGCCTATTACGGAAGGCCAAGTTTAAAATAGCACCAACCTCCCTTTCTTCCTCAGGTAAACTTCCTTGTTTGTAGACTCCACCAACAAACCACTTGCACCCTCCCCAAGTAAGCAATGGTTTCTGCGATTTCCCGGTCTTGGGCCTCGTGTTATTTTTATCTGGGATGTGGAGGTGGATGTTTACTTTTAAAGAAGCCAAGAGTTTAACCTCCTATGTCTTTTGAGATACCAATGAAACAGCAAACAAAATAACCCTAGTCCACTGAACAGGAGGGGGGGGGGGATGCATTAAACCCTTGACTTATATTTTCATCTTTAATCCTGCCCACTGTTGCAATTTCACTTTTCAGATTAACATTGACAGTTCGACAAGAGAAACCATCATCAGGAATATTCAAGAACCCACTCCAACGTGCTTTGAAGAGGCTCAAAAAATCGTGTATACGCACATGGAGAGAGACTCATACCCCAGGTTTCTCAAGTCGGAGATGTACCAGAAACTTCTGAAGACTATTCAGCCCAATGACAATTCCTGACGACCACTCAGAAGCTTAAAGTGAAGGCAGTCTATTGAAAGTATTGGCTTTGTTCTTCTAACTTACACACACACACACACACAATGCAAAACAGAGTAGGAATAAAGTACAAGGAAAGGAACTATAAATTGAGTTCTCGTTCCCGAAGGGAAACAGATCTCTGAAGGGATGGACTGGAGAACGCTGATCACATGACTAATACAATTTATGGCATACCTAAGTAGTGCTCTGAAAAAGGACAGTCTTTCTTCACAACGCCAATCTTATTAACGTTTTTACTGTGGTCATCAACTGATGGAAGTTTTCTTATTAATGAAATTTTGTCACAATATACAGATTGGTCCTTCAAAGGTTGTAGCTATATAAGTTGTGTCTCTAGCACAGTGGTTCTCAACCTTCCTAAGGCCGCGACCCTTTAATACAGTTCCTCATGTTGTGGTGACCCCCAACCATTAAATTATTTTCGTTGCTACTTCATAACTGTAATTTTGCTACTGTTATGAATCATAATGCAAATATCTGATATGCAGGATGTATTTTCATTGTTACAAATTGAACATAATTAAAGCATAGTGATTAATCACAGAAACAATATGTAATTATATATGTGTTTTCCCCTGTGAAAGGGTCGTTCGACCCCCAAAGGGGTCTCGACCCACAGGTTGAGAACCGCTGCTCTAGCAGAATGTAACATTTTGATAGAGTGCTCTTAATAATGTTAATTAATAGATAAACTTAGTACCCAAGTACAATCAATTGTGTTATGCCATGAGTGATACCAAAAAGATGGGTTCTTTCCCTGGCTGGTGTGGCTCGGTTGGGCATCGTCCTGTGCACCATAAGTTGCTGGTTCAATTCCTGGTCAGGGCACATGCCCGGGTTGTGGGCTCAATCCCTGGTAGGGTGAGTGCAGGAGGCAGCCAATCAATGTTTCTCTCTCACGTTGATGTTTCTATTTTTCTATCCCTGTCCCTTCCTCTCTCTCTAAAAAGCAATACAAATATTTTTTAAAGATGGATTCTTGAGAAATGTTTGACCTGTAAAATTTTCCTACTATTATGTTCATAACTGAATTTCTATGTTGCGTATATCTTCTACATGTGAAAAATTCCTGATGATTCGAAGCTGTTAAAAATGTATTAATGTCTTCCTGTAGTTTTATTAGTATAAGGGTAGAAAATTCGGTTCCTATACTTTCAGATATTTTATTCTTCACAAAGTGAATTCATCATGGGCCTGATAATCAATAAATCCAAATATAAATTTAAAAGTTATAAACATGTGGGGTTTTTTCAAAGACAATAAAGTTATTTTTCCACTAAAAGGTTTTTTAATCTGTCCTATCATAGCAGCTTAGAATTTGTCAGAAGATTCCAGAGGAAAGAACTCATGTCTGTTTCCATATATTCAGCACAAAGCACAGGACAAATACTTCATACACATGAACAAATAGTCTATGCTTTTAATGAATAAAATACCTAGAAAATATATCGAGTCGTTTTTCCAAAAAAATAACTGCAGGAAAATCTGATTCAAGATCTTTAGTTTTACCATGAAATGTGTTTCTTGGGTCTCAAATTTGACTGCATTAGCATGACTATTATAAAATGCCTAGAAACACATGTGATAGCACATGAAAAAAAAATGAAATGGAATTCTTCTCCTGAAGCAGAGGATTATTCTAGTGCTGAATACATATTTGGGGGCTCATTTCTGAGAAAGAGAATTAGCTGTGCAAGAGAAAATTGTTGTTGAGCCTGGCTGGTATGGCTCAGTTAATTAATAGATAAACTTAGTACCCACAGTATAATCAATTCTGTTATGAGTGGTTATGAGTGGTTGAGCTTTGACGTATAAACCAGGATGAAACAGTTTGATTCCTGGTCAGGGCACTTGATCCCCAGTAGGGGGCGTGCAGGAGGCAGCTGATCAATGATTTTCTCCCATCATTGATGTTTCTATCTCTTTCTCTCTTCCTTCTTCTCTCTGAAATCAATAAAAATATTTTTTAAAAAAAAACACAAATAAATCTGGCCACTGATACAACGAATGAATGAAATTAGAATGACCAACTTGCTTTACTACTTATTTCTCCCCTTGTACTCCAATACAGGAAAAGTCCAGAATATTGTTTGGCTTCTGTGCTGAGCTTACCACCCAAATACAGACCCTCTGCTCGGCTCTCAGAGGGCCTTCGCCTCATGTTGGGTAAACAAGGTGCCAGGCAGTGGCCTGAAACAAAACTCTGTCGACTGAGGAACAGAGCCATTGGATGGGTGCCTGTCCACCCACCCAATGTCCTTGTACCCTTGGTCCCAGGAAGCCTCAGTTTCCCCATCTGTGAAATAAGGAGGTGGGACTTGGGGTCTGTGTGAGTCACATGCAGAATGTGTTTTATCACATCCCATTGCTAATGCATTCGTCATGTTCTTCCAGCTTAGACTCATTCTGAAGAGTAATTTCTCTGAAAATTGAGGTTATCGTGACAAAGTGGATAATGAACTTTCTGTTTTGCATTTGACACTGACTAAGAGAGTTCTCACATGCTTTCACTGAAGAACAGAGAATTTCAAGTGAAAGTGCTATCAGTTCAAGAATTCTACGTGGGAGGGTGAGTTGCAGGTCACTGATAGTCAAACTGGTTTTCAATCATTCAAACTTAACAATATCCCGAGTCCTGTTTATTTTTCTTAGGATATTTTTTAATTAATAAATGCATTATTCTAACAATTCAAAAATTGATATTTATCAAATGGCTACAAGGATATATCCATATTAACACAGTTTTACATGATACTTGTTTATCCTTAGCACTTTGAGATTAATGCATTAAAAACATATTGTTAGTTTCCTGATATCAGAACCTGGATGTATTCATCACTTTCATCTATTTTTAGATATACATTTTCAAACTCTGGGGATGTACATGATAAGCCTTCATTGTCGCCACATAAAACTAGTCTTATCTTCAAAGGGGGATAGTGACAGAGATTTGCACAATTCGGATTCAAGTGTCTTGGCAGAGATGAACACTTTCCTATTTATAATTCATCAGTCACACCATCGCTTCATTGACTGCAAAGGGGTTTCTACCCGTTTTGGAAGAAAGATAACAGAGAAGAAATACACAACGCTTTCTTCAAAGACATAATAGGGTGTGACGTGAAGGAAATCATAAGATCCCGCTGCGCAAAAATATCTCCCTCCACGGGGGGACCTGAGTTTCCCATCGCTGGTCACAGTCGATAAACTCTCTGAATCCAAGTTCTAAACAAGAAATGAGACACTCGTGCTAACGCTTTACCTGCTGCTGAGCAGAAAGCAAGGCCCGGGGAAATGAACGCGGGCATAGAGGGCGGCATAGGAACATGAGCTGAGAGAACAATGACGTTAGGGTCACCAGCGGTCACCAGGTGCCACATAGGGATTTGTTTGATAAGCAAGCAAACTGCTTATTGAAATCTCCCCATGATGTTAACAGAAAACCAAAAGGGAGGGGGGCCCCCGACCACTTTCCTAAGGATTTAAGAAGTAGGTCGGTGAAAAGGATTTGACACCAGTAGCATTTTCAAATTTTAAGTGTATGGGCAGAAAGCCTTCGAAAGAACAACTTCCAAAGGACTCGTAGTTCATGAAAATACTCATGTGCATTATTTCACTTGAGCCTGAAACTGGGATGCATGGTCAGCCCTGAGGCAAAGAGGCAGGGAGTGGTCAGATGCAATGAGTAGAGTGTTCGATGCTACATCCATCAGCCAGTCAGTGGTCCAGCCTTGAGATTCAAGGACGGGAACCCAAACCTGGCCGCAGGGGGGTCAGAGAGACTGCCCTGCAGATGCTACGCGAACTGAGTGAGTTGATGGACAGACCGCCCTTCCTGGCATATCCTAGAGCAGTGATGGCGAACCTTTTGAGCTCAGCGTGTCAGCATTTTGAAAAACCCTAACTTAACTCTGGGGCCGTGTCACATATAGAAATTTTTTGATATTTGCAACCATCGTAAAACAAAGACTTATATTTTTTATATTTATTTTATATATTTAAATGCCATTTAACAAAGAAAAATCAACCAAAAAAATGAGTTCGCGTGTCACCTCTGACACGCGTGTCACAGGTTCGCCATCACTGTCCTAGAAGGTCGTTTTTAAGAGGGGGCATGTGCCTCTAGCGAGTAATGGCTCTGAGTATCAACATGGATGAAGGCAGTAGTTATAATATAAGAAAAATAAAGTGAAATGCTTTGGGGGAAACAGAAGAAGGAGGGAACTGAGGGGAGCAGCAGCCTCGGACGTCAGCCGCTAGACGGGAGGAAGGAGACCTGAATAGAGAAGCCCCGGGCAGAGCCCTAACATAGTAAACAAACCCCACTTCGGGTGACAAACACCTTCATTAGAGAGCTCCCACCCTTAATAAGGAAAGGAAACTTTGCAACGCAAGCCAGGGAGATGCCAGCTCTATAAACACACTTGGTTTGAAACGTATACTTTAAAAGGAATGGTTTACAGAAAGAGGTGGGAAAATCTGCTGGATACTGTGACTTCTAGACAGGATTATAGCCCCGTCTTGCTGCTTCCAATGAATAATGCATTTTGCTATGTTATTAGACACGCAGATGTGCTGGAACGGAGCTTTTTCTCACAGGCCTCTTGCTAGTGAGGAGGACAATAAAAGACGGTGAAGGTAAATACAGTCTGTTCTTACGCTGCAAGGCGGACTGGCAGCACCCCAGCTCCTTGGTGATTCGTGTGCAAGTTACTCCCCAAGCTACTCAGTCTAAAATCAAAGTATATTGATCTGCTAACCCAACAATAGCCATCCAGTGTGAACAAATAGAAATTATAGCTATCTTTGTAAGATCGGCATAAAAATAAATTTGTTGGTGTCCCCCAGAATTTAATGGGTGCCATGAGATGAAAAGGGTGGAAAATCAATCACTAATATAACTGATTGAGCATTTACTATGTGCCGGGTGCTGGGCCAATCACTTCACGTGCATCATCTCCTTTAACTCTCACAACAACGTCATTTACGTTTACCTATTACCTTTATTACACAGCAGATAAAACTGAGACTTTACAAATGTTAAGTAATTCCTTCTAGGCCACAGAGCTAGAAGTGGAATGAATGGAACTTAGGTTTTTGTTTTGTTTTGTTTTTTAAATATATTTTTTATTGATTTCAGAGAGGAAGGGAGAGGAAGACAGAAGTAGAAACATCAATGATGAGAAAGAATCATTGATTGGCTGCCCCCTGCACACCCCACACTGGGGATCAAGCTTGCAACCCGGACATGTGCCCTGACCAGGAATCGAACCGTGACCTCCTGGTTCATAGGTCAACGCTCAACCACTGAGCCACACAAGTTGGGCTGGAGCTTAGTTTGTATCTTCTCTG